GTCCTCAAAGTCCTGCGTGACGCCCTGAGAGACTTGAATCGTGCTGGGGTCCTAGTTATAAAGGCGGAACAAAGGCAATACTGAGAACGTACGTGAACTGCTTTAGCCGTAAATATTCTGCCATGATGAGGATCTCCTGTCCATGTTCACTCGGCCCGAGCATCTTTGCAGCTTCTCCAATCTACGGATTTTAACCATAAGCGTATATTTCAAGGCCGTTCATACGACACGTACGACGAGCACCCCAAAATCTGCATCGAATAACCCAAGAAGATCGTCCGCATTGCTTACGATGTACCCGGTCTAGTTCAATGAGTGTCGGGTGTCAACAACAAAAGAGTCTACCCACCGGGTGGTTATCCGAGGCCATGGTGTTGATCTGGGTTTTTGCATCAATTCCACACTCGTCTTTGGATGATATACTGTACGTACCAGCTTCCTCGTGGTCAGCCTCTGCGCATAGCTGAGGCGCTCGATGTTGCGCGATATTGACTGGCTGAGGAGGCGCAGCATCTGTCGAACGGGGAATGACACGCGCATCCCATGTGCGCCGTACGAGTGGCACGTCACGAGCCCCCAGAGCTGGCCGAAAGCCATTATCGACTGGTTCAGGTACGAGGTCAGAACAGGAGCCAAGCATACAACGGGATACTCACAACAGACATCGATGCCCGTACGTCCATGTTCTCCAGGTCTAATCCCAACTCATCAGTGACTCCAAAATATCGCGGAGGGCACTATCGAGCATACATTTAATATGTATTGGGCTCATCGCACGCAAATAACAATGAGTCATGTTCAAAGGTGCCTTGAGGTCCTCCCGGCTGCGCACGACGATGCGCGCAGTGCTCCGCGAGCGGTCGTACAGTAATCGGACTTTATCTATTGATATCGCGTCGTTAGTACTTCAGGCAAGGCAGATGAGGAGGCCACGCACTGATCGCATACAACTGCCTTGCCTGCCCGTGGATAAATGGAATCAGTCCCCTCCCCTCGAATTCAGAAGAGTAAGACGCACTTGTGCCGGAATATCTGCCGCTGGGAAATGCAGCCCCCGGTACAGATCATGTGTTTTGCTCCAGTCCATCAGCTCCGCGACGACCTGCCCGTTCCACGCCTCATCAAACTGATATATCAGCACCCGGTGGAATTGCGACAAATCCTTGATCACGCCGACGACGACCTGGAGGAATGCCGCGAGGTCCGGAGCGTCGCCTAGCTGCTCGTTGATCTGCGCCATCACGGCAAAGACGTCCATCATGCCCACCCCACCGGACATGCCGCCACCAGCACGTCTTGACCTCCGCGAGCGCGTCTCTGTGGGCGAAGACGGGGAGGAGCCGCCTACTCCCGAGGGGAGGGGCTCGCCGCGCGCGAGGCGGCGCAGGCGTTCCAGCGCGAGAAGTGGTTTCGCGCGCGAGGTCGTGCTCTCGAGGATATCCTCCGCACTAGGCGCCCACGACTCCGAATCGTCCGTGCTCCCCTCCTTGGGTGCCACATCCACGGCAGTAGGCTCAGCAGGCTCCACATCGTCGGGAGTGGGGAGTTGCGCCGGGGTCGCGCCCCCACCGTGCAGGGTACGCTCAGAGCCATCGGTTGACGATCCACCAGCGTCGCCTGCCGTGCTCGCCCCGCTGCCGTTCACGGAGCCGGACGGCGTGTCCAAGCCCGCACTTGCGTCTTCCTCCGGGTGCGGATACAGGGGGTTCAGCGTATCACGCTCGAGCTCGAACTCCATGATGATCAACCCCGAATTCTGCATGCCCGTGGGGTCGAACGGACGGTGAACTGCACACCAACACGTCCACGCGCGGCGACCGCGACTGGCCTCCTGGTCGTCCGGGGCGGCGCTCCCGGGTGCACCCCAGCCGGTGAGCAGAAACACGTGGGGCGACGACCCCTCATCTTGTGAGTTTGTATCAGCCTCTGAGAGAAATTGGATGTTGTCCCAGAGGATTCCGGCCTGGGATTCGGGGAGCGTATCGGTGAAACATTCAAGGGAGAAGAGATAACGGGGGGAGAGGCCAAGGAGTTCCTCGGCGTTCTGGGAGGACAAGTTAGTGTGACAAGCAACTAAGTAAGCATGGAGAGGCACACCTCAGAGACCTGTCGGACGACGAGCGCATCTTCGAGCTCGTCGACGGCGATAAGAACGCCAAATCCTTGTACGGCACCCGGCGTGCGAATCGGCTGCAATGATTGGTTTAAAGTATTTTGATTAGATAGATAGACGCACCTCGTCCTCGCACCGTGAAAGTTTTCCCTCTCGGCCTACGATGACATGGTGGCCGTGTTCGTCCTGCAGATGCTGGAAGCGGACGGTAAGAAATTGGGAGGCATCACTGGCGTCTGAGCCCGATGCGGAAGCCGACGCCGACTCGGAGCCCGAGCCTGATACGACTTTCGACACGGATGAGTGGGAGGACTCTGAGTGCTGGACGTCGTCGCGTACGGCCGCCAGCCACGGGGAAGACATTCCAGAGTCGCCGGCGGAGGGATCTGTGCCCTTTTGGCTACCACGCGCTGACGTGAAAATGAGAGAGCTGCCCTCGCTGCGCGGAGGGGTGGGCGGGAGCGGGGGGAGGTGGACGAGGCCGAGCTGGGACGGGTTCCACGGCATGTCCGGGACTTCCTCCGGCGGAAGGGGGTCGTCACTGACAGGGACCTGTTTGGGCCGCGCGCGGGGTTCTGGCGGTGGTTCCCGCAGTATTTTGGGCTCTGGGGCGGGAGAGGCGACATCAGCCACGGAGTTGGATGAGGAAAAGACTGCGAGGAGATCAGGGGGCAAATCAGTCTTGCTGGAGAAGGTTGCGACGAAAGAACGAGGCAAATTAGGGTCAGACTGCTCTGCGGGAAAGTGTCTAAAGTTCGGAGACACAACACTGGAGCGATGGCGTCGCCGACGGTTTTTTTTGGGATGCGAAGCAGAGTCCGCTACTGCGGGTGGAGTTGCTGAGGAGTCAGACGCGGATCTCCTGCGACCCAAAGCTTTGTTCCCGCCAGCATCTGTAGCGTCTTTTGTCCAAGCGCTGGCGCGTGGATCGGCAATGCCAGACGTGCGGCGAGCGTGGATATCGCCAGTCTCCGCGTCGGGGATGTTAGCGTTGCGGGCTGGCTGTATGGAGCCGCTGAGGAGGGAGCGGACGGGATAGACGTAGGAAGAGGACCCTGGGGAATCAGAGTCAAAGGCCATAACCCATGGAGAGACGATGGGGCACTCGACTCGTCCACATCGATCACATGACGTCATTAGCTCCCTCGCGCGCCACCGCGATCACCACGGTCCCTGTGCTGTACCTTGGAGCGCCTGCAAAATTAAGTTGGGCATCCTTTGCGGAGTTAATTAGAAATCGAATTCAGGAATTTCGAATAACTAGAGACTCATGTCAAAGTCGAAAGTCAGTGGATTCCAGCCAACAGACTCAGCTTGAAGATTTTTACCCAGACCTCTGCAATATCTGCGAGTTATTGATGATCCTGCACACAGTGTTCATCCTGAGCGGCAGCCTCAGCCAGGACAATTATTAGTCGGCCCTCAACTAAGCACATGACCACTATTTCATGGCCATTTACCGAGAATCTACACCAGGAACTCTGTGGGAAATGTCTGGAGAAGAACAATAATGTATGGCGTAGAAACAAGCAGGCAAAGCCATAAAGTTTGAACGATGACGATGGAATCAAATAGCTACAAACAACCGCTTCGCAACCCAAATAGGCAAGTCTTCATCCACGGCCCCGTTCACTGAAAGTAGAACGAATATATCCAGTGTTCAAAGAACCACAAACATGAAAAGAACGATTAGGGCACAGGTCGCTCCCTATCAGCAACTGTGCTTTAAGAATGGAGCTTGAGGGACGTATCGGCGCGAATGATAATAAGTTCTCAAACATTTGAGAGGAAAGTTAATCCGCGTCGCGCCTTTTGACCATGGAGTGTTCCAGTCCCAATCGACCCGATTTTTTGGACAAGCCCATTCAAGAATAGGGGCGTTCACAATTCCCTTTTTTCCGCCATTTTTCCAGCCCTTGGTTGCATTCCCATCTTTTTTGGCTGAGTTTTCCCCTCTTTTTGGAAGAAAGAGCTGAAGAACTTGCAAAAAACCACACCCCAAGTGCAAGGCTGGATTAGTTCAAAAAAAGGGAGCAAAAAAGGCAGTGACTGAGATCAGAGAAATCCTCCCGGCGCTCCCTCTTTCTGCCCCTTTTGGAGCTTTCTCCCCCAACATCTTACTAATCTTGTGTGGCATTCACTGGAGGGGGGGGTTGCCAGCGCTGCAATTTAATCTACAACAATTCTATGAATAGTTTATCTATGACAATTGGAACAACGAACGGAAAAGGACCTTCAAGGGGAAGATTATTGTGAATGACCCTAATCGATATCGAGCCCGGCTCGGATGGGATTGAGGAAGACCGAGCGGGCGCCCGCACAATTCCACTTTGTTTAAACCTTTACTATCTGGCTCATATAATTTTCCAGTACCGACGAAAATGCTCTTGTCCAACACATACTAGACTTTTAAGGATAGGTTTTAATGGAAAGTCGGAGAATGAACGTCCCTGGTGCTCACTCATATTGTAGTGTTTTGCTGTTATTTAGGCAACCAAATCTGGTTTCCTGTAAAGTTTGTGCGAACTCTCGACAGAAACAAGACATACAGTACTCTCGCAGGAGTCCATTGAATTGTTGGGCAGGTTGGAAGACGGGGCAGTTCAAGTTTATCATAACAATCGGACTCGAAGCATTATTGAGCTTGTAATCTCCTGTACCGTGCTGCTTGAGTATTCCAGCTTCTAGTGAACAACTATATGCTGAAGGTTCTGATCAGCAACGACCTCGAGGCAAAAAATGTTCGGCGAATCAACAATCGGCCTCTCGGCTGAATGTGCAACGACAAAGGAAGCTTACGGTGCAGGAGGATCCGTCAGAGAATCATAACTGGAGAGTGGGAGAGAAATGGGAGGGAAAAGAATGTTATTCAAAATTGCAGCAAAAGGACCCTGGCCGGGATTTGAACCCGGGACCCCGTGCAATCGAATTACGATGTTGAACACCGATGAACCCAAAGCACGTATCATTCTACTAGACCACCAGAGCGGTGAGGATTCTTCCCCAAAGTTTTACAAGACCTTCTTCCAGAATTCTCACCGACACGAAAATTGATCCCGAACAAATTTTGACGTAATTTACTTAGCGTGTACAATCCGGATTCTTCAAGGACAAGATTGAATTCCGTACTGGTCATCCTCTGCGGTACATCATCTACAGAACACCAGTCTACCCAGCAAAACTCCACAAATCAGAAACGACGTCTCCGCCCACCTCCTCCGCACCAACGGAAAACAAATCTATCCGCGTCCCCATGTCCACCGCCACCGGCGGCTCCTTCTTGATCTTCCTGTTCGCGTCTGCCTCGAACAACTTTCGGAGCATATAAGCACTCAGCGCAAAGAGACAAAACAAGACTAGGGAGAGACGCACCGTTCCATACGTGTGATCCAAGAAATCCTCCATCGAATACCCCGGTTTCGTGAACGCCTCGGAGAAAATCTTGGTTAGCGTCGACACGCCTGAAAGGTAGTGATCCTTGTGCGAGGTGAGTTCCCACAGGGAGCTCTCGATTGCGCGCGTCAGCAGCGGGTTCGGCTCCGCAGGATCGAAAGGGTCTGTTGATTCCCCGTCGGGGCGGTGTATCATGGCCATGAGGGCGGGGTGGCGCTTGAGGGTGTTGTAGGTGAATGGGATGATCATGATCACCGCGGCTGGCGGAGCAGAAAGCGAAAGGCGAGCGAGGCGCTTGATGAAAGAGGCTAGAAGCGTTGCTGGAATGTGACTGGAGACATTAGTAAGTAGGCGTTCGACGAAGTTGGAGGGGAGGGACAGACGTTGAGCTGAGGAACAACTCGGTCAACCGGAAAAACCGGGCGCGGTGTTTTGAATGTAGGACGTCCCGATCGAGAAATGCATATAACCTCGTGTAGAACGATGGATAGTCCCTGAAAAAGGAATGATGTAGTCGGTTCCAAAGTGGTGAGAAGGAGCTTACAAGTTATATTCTTTCATCAACACGAAAAGGGCGTTGAGGGCGAGAAGACCAACGGTTCCACCTAAATCAAATGATTAACATGGGATATCAAGAATAGCGAAGGCGGACACGCACCATAGTCGACGCTGCCACCGATCCAGTCCATTATCAAGACCGGCCGTGTCAAGTGGGGCATAACACCGCGATGCATCACGTTGAGTGCACGGAGTGAGAGACTTTTGCTCGTTGATACATCTCGTACTGCGGATAGTTTTGGTAGGAGCGCAAGCCACGCACGGGTAAAGACTGCACGATGGGAAGCCAACGAGTGCAGTGACTGGTGTATTGTCAGTTTATGCAGTCTCGCGCCCGGAGATTTGGATTTCTCGGCGTCCTTAGCCGTCGTATCCTCGTCGAAGAATTTACGCCAATCATCCTCATCCTCATCCTCATCCGCCCCGCCCGCTTCCTCGTCGGACGAGTCGTTTGCGTTTGTGGAACTCTTCTTGGATGGTTTTGGCTTTGGCGGCTTCGAGCCCATTTCCGGGACCCACCATGCGTTGAGCTCAGCCTTCTCCGTTGGAAAGGTATTGAGACCCTCCAATATATTCAGGAGATTTGCGGGAAGGTCGGGGTGGTCAGATATGGATGTGGTGTTCATTAACGACCTGTAAACATCAGGATTGGGAAAGGTGAAAGCTAGGGAAAGAACGTACCCAGCCTCGCGAAGGAAAAACCACCGCACATCATCGTGGACACTGAACCACGTTTCGTGGAATAGGTGAAGAACGTCGGGATCGAGTATGCCCTTGCTGCCTTGCCCTGACCGTCCAGAAGGGGGGCATAGCAGTAAGCTTGAGACGATCTTTCGGAAATGTGAGATGTGGAATTGAGGTTGAGAATCCGACAAGCTGAAAGACGTCGAGAGATGTTTTTGGAGGGAGAATAAGATTTGCAATGACGATATCTAGACGAAGAGAGCATGAGTAGCGAATCCGACGAGCGAGAGGGGAGAAGTACACGCAGCAGCTTTTCCTCGTCCTTCAGTAGGCCGCATAGGAAATCGACATATGAATTGAGCCTGTCCCATATCCACGACTTGACAACTTTAGCTGCCTCGTCGCCACCTGCGCCGAGTTTCCCGCCGGAAATTATGACAACGAACACCCTGTATAGGGCGTATATGGCTTTTGAAGTGTCCTGTGCATCACCGGCAGCGAATGTCAGGTCCAAGAGGTCCGCCAATGGATTCAACGAGGTATTGGTAGCAGCGGCAGAAGTAAGCTGCTCCTCTAGTAATTGTACGGATTTTGCAAATTGAGAATCCTTCTGGATCTTGCGCTTCTTGCTCGGGGGCGGAAGCGACGGTGCAGGGCGGGTCATGGCGGGAGCCTGAAAATTTACACAGCCACTCGCTTCGTCGGGATCATTTGCCCAACTTTTACAACCGCAAAGTTATGATTGTGACTTTGCCTGCTAAAGTAAGGTAGCGGCCATACAAACACTGTCAACGTTCCAAATATGGGCAAATTCCCAAAATAAATGTGCTAGATAATCAGCAATGTACTTGAGGCTTATCCCTTCCATGAATCTATAGATACATATCTTAAGGATGCCCCAATCAAACCCTTAGACAAAATAATGAGAATTGACTGAGGAGTTGTCCTCACAAGGTTCCCATCAATTTTGAGAGCTCTTAGTTGATGGCGACTTAAATCTGTAACTACATTTTCTACACTTGTCCAAATCCTTAGTGAGTAGACCCAAACGAGAGCCTGCATGTATACCTTGAGATCGATGGAAGGGATAAGCCTCAAGTACATTGCTGATTATCTAGCACATTTATTTTGGGAATTTGCCCATATTTGGAATGTTGACGGTGTTTGTATGGCCGCTACCTTACCATCTGTCCGCTGCGTACTCTGGCCTCTCCTTCGACTCGGTGGTGTTGATTCTGTCAAGCAACTCAATAAACTTAACGCGTCCGCCCGCTGTTCATTGACCTCGCACTCAGTGGGCTCGTCACTGGCAGCGTTGACTTGGTGGCGAGTAACTAGGACAGTGAGTACGATTCCAGGTTCCACAGTCATATCGAATTCCATTGCCATGTCTACCACGTTGCTCATTCACGAATTTAAATTTCTTGCGGCTGTTCGTTCAAGATGTAGCAGTCCCGGCACATCTGTTGGAATCAAAAGCAAGAATTGATGTGCTTTTCATTGTTGCGGTTCCCGCAAAATACGAGCCATCCGGCAGAAAAATACGCAGCTGAAACGTGTGGGGCCGAACGCGCGATACTTGGATAGGGTTCAATTCTGTTCGATTTAATACCGAATTCCCGCTGCCTGCAGCAGGCCTACGCTTTGGATTAAATAAAGATCGATTAATCATCGTGTTTCTAGATTCCGCGTCGTGGAGGAATAACCGCGGCGTGCGCTAGGGCGTGATATATCGTCGCACTACACAGGCCGTGACAGCGGAATCAAAATCTTCGAGTTCCAAATTAGGTGGTATAGTATGAAGCGAAGATGTTTCAGCCTAGACTAATAGTTGCAGGCAAGTGAAATCCAGTCGTTTAGCAACGGGTCGAACTTTAAAGAGGCACCATGTTTCGCTTGGAATTATCTCGGCCTCCAACATGTTCAGTAAACTCACTCTCACTACGTTCTGTGTCTCTGCTCTCTGCGCTGTCGCTTCAGCAAGGACCAAGCTCACCAATGGGACGAGCGGAACCGCAGAAGAGGGACCGGGATTCACCACTATGGGAGCTCTTCAATGGCAGTCAAGCGGTCAGTGGTTTGCCTATCCACGGCCACTCTAGGATTAAACAATTTCAGGCGTGCTCTACGACGGGTGCAACGATTCGGCAGAATACCCGATAAATATTACCGAGTGTTATTCCCTGCAGCTGTCTTCCGACCCGACGAAGAACCTCCAGAGCACGACGAGTGACTCCCCTCGGCAGCGCATTGAGTTCCTGACTGGCGGTGCTTCCGACGGAACATCCTGGTCGTACGAGTGGAAATACTACTTGTCAAGCCAGACGGGAACGACGAACCACTTCTTCCACGTCATGCAGATACTCACTCGTGGCGGGGATGGAGGGCCAGTGATCACTCTGAATGCCGCTGCAGACAAAGTGTCGATACAAGACACTGTGCGCGGGTGCCCAACCGCTGGGTGCCCGTTCATCGCGCTGGATGATTTCACGGACAGGACGACCACCCACAGCATGAAGGTCACATTTGGTCCGAGCGGGTCGGTAAAATATACGGTCAAGGACTCCAAGACAAGCGAGACTCTGTTGACTTATTCAGCAACGGGGTCAATGGGCACCACATCGACTTCGTGCGCCAGACACTTGCATTGTGCCCGTTGTAAATCGCTGACAACATTCTGTAGCCTTAAATTTGGAACGTATCGGCAGGCCGTCGAGGGCATGACAGTATCCCTGTGAGTAAATAGGCCTTTCTTGTGGGACAGCATGGACTCAATTCAATTCATTTCAGCGCTTCCCTCGGAGATTTCACTTACAAGCAGCTTTGAGGTTCTCTAGGTCGCGCTTTGTATATACATTAATTACCCAGTGGATATACCAGTTTATCGTCTCCATCAATTTCACTAAGATTCCGAGATTATGAGCTCGAGTAAGTAATATGAAATGAAAACTTAGATTCATAAGCTATAACTTCGACCGTATCTGTTCCGCCAACACAATCGCTTCATCATCGTCTAGTTCACTCCGACCTTCGAATTCCCGCTGATGCATCTCTCTCCGCGTCAGAGGTTCTACGTCCTCGGGAGATGGATTTGTAGGTTGACTGCCAAAAGTTGGAGCAGGGATGACGTGATAGTGGACCTGGGGATGTTACAGAGGCCATTCGCTTTAGGGTACAGAGTACACGCACATGTGGGACTGCCTGCGCGTATTCTTGGTTGCACACCACATTAAGAGCTGTATTGTTGAGCGCTAAAGTTCATCAGTGACACCGTTAATATTAGCTGGGACTCGTCCGACACACCTAGCGTGAGGGCATGAGCGACCTTCGTAACAGCCTCCCCGACCGCTGCA